ATAAAAACACACACACACACAAACATTTTCTGGTGTGTGTCCTCTAATAGACAATTAGACTCTGATAATACACTTCCATTTTATCTTGAGTTTAGGAAACATAATGAGTGAATTTAAACTTAAAAATTTGTTTGCAAACCAATAGAATATTGTAAGATTAAACTTCTATGGGAACCAAAAAGAAGAAAAAAGTTTGAAACAGTGTTACTGTGATGTCAACATATACTGAGAGTAGCTATGAAGCGGCAAACAATATTGAACGACGTCTATTGCTTTTCTGTTGGTTTGTTTGTATTTATGCATATTCTCTGTTATATTTATATTTTGTGTGATTCCTTGTGTATGTTCCTTTGTACTGAAACTCTGGCACAACAATTTCCTGCGGGATCAATAAAGTTCTATGTTATCTTATCTTAGCTTTACAAGGTTGGACCTAAACAGCTCCAGCTCAGTCCCTCCTCAGACTTTGAAACGCTGGTGTAAAAAGTGACAAAGGGCTATGTCTTTAATTATAACATCCATCCATCCATCCATCCATCCATACATCCATCCATCCATTATCTTTATCTGCTTCTTTTTCAGGTTGTGGGGTCACTGGTGCCCATATCCACCCATCACTGTGCGAGAGGTGGGGGACACTTTGGACACGTCTCCAGTCCATCACAGGGACACATAGAGACAAACAACCATTCACTCTCTCACTCACACCTAGAGACAATTTAGAGTCACCAATCAGCCTAACATGCATGTTTTTGGTCTGTGGGAGGAAACCGGAGCACCTGGAGAAAACCCACGCATGCACGGAGAGAACATGCAAACTCCACCCAGAAAGGCCCACCGGCCGGGATTTGAACCAGCGACCTTCTCACTGAGAGGCAGCAGCTCTCCCAACTGCACCACCGTGCCGCCCTTAATTATAACTTGCTTTTACCAAAGAATTAAAGGAAGAAAGGAAATATGGAATATTTTAAAAATACACATGTCAATGTAATATTGTAGTTTATCAAATGTATTTATAATAAATAAATTTTAAAAAATAGCTTCCAAACAGTCTAACCCTGAGATAACAAATATGTGTTACTTTTGCTCTGAATTTTCTTAGCTGTTAGGGTCATGTGTGAAAACAACTCATTTTCAGATTGTTTTTATGTTGATTTTCACTTGTTTGCAAATATATTTAAATTTTAAAGGAATCCACACAGAAGCTCATTAGGATCCGTGTCGGTTGTTTCCAACAGAGATCCAGGCCTGCACTTCCTGCTGCATGTTTTTTTTTTTTCATCATTTCCTGCTTGAAGTGTGCTCTCCCACTGCACCTCTCAGGAGGCGTGCGTGTTGCGAGAACGTCTTCCCAACCCAGAACCTCCTGCTGCGAGGAGAACGTGTGAACTTCAGCTCGAGTTAAAGTCGACCTGAACCTCGACGTAACCTTCTTCAGGCGGAACTGCGTTCGTTCACGACGCCGCGTTTTGTTTAACGACACTGCCGATACCATCTTGTGTACAAAAACCTATTTCACAAGTTTTACTTTGTGTTTTTCCTCCTGTTCAAACTCAGGAATATTCATTTTATCATTGTTCCAATTTCTGGCTTCATGTTGTTTTTGTGTGCAAGACGCTGTGTCCCACATAAAACACAACAACAACAACAACAACAAGTCTGTTTGTGTCTGACAAAAGACTGATGTTGCATGATGAATGTTTTCGATCCTGTCTCTGTGTTTATTAGTAAAACATCTCAAGAACCACTGGTTTTACAGAAAAACTCAATCAGTCCACAGCTAGTTAATTTAATCAAAAATAAAAATGGCTAAAAATAAGTACATTTTCAAGAAATTGAGCTTAAAATTTAGTTTGCTAGAAACTGAGAGTTATCCCCAACACATTAATATTTGTTAAACTTTGCTACCATCAATTGTAATCAATCCTATCTGTTAGCAAAATATCTCATGGACCACTGGATGGATTTTATTGAAACTCACAGGAAGTAATCTTTGTTTGGACATTGACAACTCATTAAAATTTGGAGTCAGTAAAATTAAAGATGGCTTCCGCAACTAGTCAAACTTAGTAAATTTACAAATGGCTAAAACTATTTTCAAAGAAACTGAGCTAAAATTTAGTGTGGTAGTACCTGAGCACTCTCCCCAACACATACTCAAAGTTACAACAAATTTGTTTTGTTCAAAACTTTGCTGTTAACAATTGTAATCACGCTTGTCTGTCTGTTAGCAAAATATCTCATGAACTACTGGGCGGATTCTATTCAAACTCTCAGAATGCAATCAATGAATGGACATTTACAACTCATTAAAATTTGGAGTCAACAAGATTAAAAATGGCTTCCACAACTGGTCAAACTTAGTAAATTTACGAATGGCTAAAACTATTTTCAAAGAAATTGAGCTAAAATTTAGTGCAATAGTACCTGAGCATTATCCCCAACACATACTCCAAGTTATAACCAATTTGTTTTGTTCAAAACTTTGCTGTTAACAATCGCAATCAAGCTTGTCTATCTGTTAGCAAAATATCTCATGAATTACTGGTCGGATTCTATTAAAACTTTCAGAATGCAATAAACGAATGGACATTTACAACTCATTAAAATTTGGAGTCCACAAGATTAAAAATGGCTTCCACAACTAGTCAACCTTGGCATACATAAGAATGGCTCTAACTTAGCCAATTTTAAAGAAATTGAGAAAATATTTGGTGACATAGTAGCTGAGCTTTATCCCTGTAATATAGTCTTATTAAGACTTTGCTATCAACAAATAGCATCAATACTGTCAGCAAAATATAGCATGAACCATTAGACAGATGCTATTGAAAGTCTCAGAAAGTAATCATGGATATTTACAACTCATTAAAATTTGGAGTCATTATGAAAGAATGGCTGACACTTCTAGTCAACCTTGACGTACACACAAAATAATAATAATAAAAATGGCTCCAGCTTTGTCAATTTTGCAGATATTGATCTAAAATCCGAGGTGGTTGTAGCTGAGAGTCATAGACAACACATCTTCTGAGGACTAATGAAAAATCCCGCACATGATCACTCTTAGTTTAAGGTTTCATCACTATCATTATAACTACCACTTGTCAATAAACAACATTCGTTTAAAACTGGCAACAAAAACGTTTTGTAAGCGTTTCTTTTAAAAATGTGTGTTGGATTCTGGATTCGTTTGGCTGGAATGCGCCTTTAAACGAACCCCAAAGCAGAGGTGGAGGATGTGACTTTCAGTGAAGCAGCTAATGATTCTGAGCGTTAACGAATTTGTTTTTATTCGAACTCGTGCGAGTTTTTCAAAGCAGCCTGTCGCGTCCGCTGCGCGTCCGTTGGTGACCGAGCGCACCGTTTCCTCTCCAAACAATGAGGTGAGATCTTTTGAAAAAAAAAAAAAAAAAGGAACTCGGACCCACCAATCATTTGTAGCGTGCGCCCACCGGGCTCCGCGGACCCCTCCCCACTCTCCCCACCTCCTCGCGCCCATTGGCTGCCACAGGAGCAGCGACAGTGTTTAATGCGCCATGCGGTGTCCGAGTCCGGGCAGAGAGAGGAGGCGCTCCGGGGGCTGCGCGACGTGCTGGAAATAGTAACCAGAGACTCTGCTTGTGTAGTGAGGAGGTGGAAAAATAAACATCTTATTGTTATTATTGTTGTTGTTTTCTAGTTCCTGACAGCAACGGGGAGACTGGTTTTGAGAATGCGGCATGGTGGCTGAACACCTTGATGGCAGCTGTCTGTCTGTTTGGACTCTTTGACGCGGGGGACACGCAAGGACAAAATGCCACAGAGGAAATCAGGAACTCTGCCCTGCCTCGGGAAGAAAAAACAAACAAACAAACAAACAAACACTGATTGTCCTTTCAGTATCCACTTTGGATAAACGTTTCCACGCGCCGGATTTGTTCCGTGTTGCTTCAGTTTGAGGAGCGGTGACTCACTGCAGGCACAAGGCGAGCCGCTGCATCCTAATCAGACGACAGAGGACTTCAGCTCATTGACATTACAGTCAGACTTTGGAGCACTTTTTTTTTTCTTCTTCTTCTTCTGTTCTCACTGCGCTGCGCTGTAGAGCGCGTGTGCGTCGGAGGAGAAAGTGGGGATCGGGTGGAACTCTAAAGCCAAGCTGTTTTCATCCCACTCCTGTCTTTTTTTTTGTTTCCACTAATGGAGCAGCTTGTCTTGGTAAGATGATTGAGTTTATTGTTGTCCGTCTGACCCTCGTGCTTTGAATGCAACGTTCCACCTGAAGCTCCTCTGTTGCGCATGCTGTTCCTGTCCCTCCTCGTGGATGCAACAGCTTCTTCCGAGCAGCCTTTGGGAGAGCAGCAGCGGGGAGAATTACACGGCTGTGCTGAGAGGTTGGCAGCTCATTTATGACTTTTTTCACAAGGCTCATTTGAAATATCCGGATTATGTGGATTTGTTAATGCGTGTAAGAGGCTCATTTTTATTCTCTTATTCAAATAGTGGCCACGATGTGTTACGCCTCATTATTAAAGTTGCCTTGTGACAGTGTCAGTGTTTAACGTGTGTGGGGCATGATCTCTCTCTGTAGGGTCATGTTAGTGCCCCCCCCCCCCCCCCCCCCCCCCACCCCCCCCCCCCCCCCCTCACACACGCACGCACACACAACCTGCGCTGAAAACCTTGTGGATGGGCTCAGTGAGCTGCTGGGGAGATCATTGTTTGCCCGTGAATGTGTCTTCCCAAGGTTAACTAATTGACAAGCTTTCCTCATAATTGTGCAGATGAATTACACATGAGCCGTGTTTCATTTCTGGCTTGGCACTGGATCTGATTTCCTTCTGGCAGGGTAGCTAGAGTCCTTTTTTTTTTTTTTTTTTTTTGCTCGATTTAATAATTGATTTATATATAACATTTGCCTCCCCCCCCCCCTCTTTTTCCTATTTTTTAGATGGTATGAGCGAACACTTGCAATGACCATTCTGTTTGGAGTCTGGATCTCGATTATTGCTCCGATGGGTCTGGGTGCTCAGCTGAATATAAATTAGACTTTCACTACCACACATTGCTTGGAGAGGAAGAAAGAAACACGGCAAAGACAATCTACAAAAGTCAAATGTCAAGGCACTGCATGATGAACAGGACTTTTGATCAGATTTGTAATAACAGAAATACCAAATTTGAACAAAACATCAACACAGAACGAGGAAACACTGCGCAGATTTGAGCAGCTTTAAGTGATTGGAAATGCATCTTTCTATTTTCTTTTTCCTCCTCTTGTGGGCTCAAGCCCTGACATTAAAAAACTTGAATTATTCGGTCGCAGAGGAGCAGGGTCCAGGAACAATGATTGGGAACATTGCCAAAGATGCCAGGCTTGGACTCGAGCAGAGTGGGCAGGGACAGGGTAAGAAAGCCAACTTCAGAGTGCTGGAGAACTCGGCCCCGCATCTCATCGACGTGGACCCTCAGAGCGGACTTCTGTACACAAAGCAGCGCATTGACAGGGAAACGTTGTGTAAGAGAAACCCCAAGTGCCAACTCTCCATGGAGGTGTTTGCCAATGACAAGGAGATATGTATGATAAAAATAGACATTCAGGACATTAACGACAACTCGCCTATTTTTCCTTCAGATCAGATTGATATTGACATTTCTGAAAATGCAGTGCCAGGGACACGATTTCCCTTGACCAGTGCTCATGACCCTGATGCAGGGGAAAATGGCCTGAAAACCTATCAAATAACACGCGATGACTACAATCTGTTTTCCTTGGAGGTAAAAGCCCGAGGGGATGGGACCAAATTTCCAGAACTAGTTATTCAACGACCATTGGACCGAGAAGAACGAAGCCATCACACCCTTATTTTGTCGGCCACTGATGGTGGAGAATATCCTAGATCTGGGACCATGCAGATAAATGTTAAAGTTATTGATTCCAATGACAACAGCCCAGTGTTTGATCAGTCATCATATGTTGTAGAAATTCCTGAAAATTCTCCTCCAGGAAAAGTCTTAATTGATTTAAATGCCACAGATCCTGATGAGGGAAACAATGGTCAGGTGGTCTACTCCTTTAGTGGCTATGCCCCAGAGAGAATCCGCGAGCTGTTCTCTATAGACTCAAGAACAGGGGTGATAAAGATTCAGGGTGAAATTGACTATGAAGAAAGCCCAGTTATTGAGATTGATGTCCAAGCTAAGGATCTAGGTCCCAATCCAATCCCAGGTCATTGTAAAGTCACTGTTAAAGTGCTTGACAGGAATGATAACTGGCCATCTATAGGCTTTGTGTCTGTGAGACAGGGAGCCATCAGTGAAGCAGCACCCCCAGGCACTGTCATTGCTCTGGTTCGTGTCACCGACAAGGATTCAGGCAGGAATGGTCAGCTTCAATGCAGAGTGCTGGGTAATGTCCCTTTTAAACTTGAGGAAAACTATGATAACTTCTACACAGTGGTGACAGATAGGCCCCTAGACAGAGAGGTTCAGGATGAGTACAATGTCACCATTGTAGCCAAAGACAATGGCATTCCTCCTCTGAACTCCACAAAATCCTTCACAGTCAAGATTCTTGATGAGAATGACAATGTTCCCCGCTTCACTAAGTCAGTCTACCTTCTTCAGATCCCCGAGAACAACATCCCTGGGGAGTACTTAGGCTCAGTTTTGGCACACGACCCAGATCTTGGCCAGAACGGAACGGTCTATTACAGCATAATTAACTCTAATGTGAGTGGGGGTGATGTCAACACCTATGTTAATGTAAATGCAGCTAATGGAGCCATTTATGCTGTCAGATCTTTCAACTATGAACAAATAAAGTATTTTGACTTCAAAGTTCTTGCTAAGGATGCAGGATCTCCACACCTGGAGAGCAACACTACAGTACGCATTAGTGTTCTGGACGTCAATGACAACATCCCTGTCATAGTTTTACCACTTCTCCTGAATGACACAGCTGAAATCCATGTTCCACGAAATGTTGGTGTTGGCTACATCGTCACCACTGTGAGGGCGGTGGACAATGATTATGGTGAGAGTGGGAGGCTCACCTATGAGATTTCTGATGGTAATGAGGAGCATCTTTTTGAGATTGATCCAATAACTGGGGAAGTCAGAACAGCCCACCCATTCTGGGATGATGTGAGTCCCCTTGTGGAGCTGATCATTCGTGTTTCTGATCATGGCAAGCCAACTCTAACTGCTGCCGCCCGCCTTATCATCAAGGCATCCAATGGACGCCCTCCTGATGGACTCCCACACATGAAAGACAGTCAAAACTGGGACATGTCATTGCCGCTTATTGTGACTCTAAGCATCATATCTATCATGCTTCTGGCTGCCATGGTGACCATAGCGATCAAGTGCAAGAGAGAAAACAAGGAGATCCGAACTTATAATTGTCGCATTGCAGAGTACTCGCACCCTCAGCTGGGGAAAGGCAAGAAGAAGAAGATTAACAAGAACGACATCATGCTGGTGCAGAGCGAAGTGGAGGAGCGGGATGCCATGAATGTGATGAATGTGGTAAGCAGTCCTTCACTTGCCACCTCTCCTATGTACTTTGACTATCAGACACGCCTGCCACTCAGCTCACCAAGGTCAGAGGTCATGTACCTCAAGCCCACTGCCAATAACCTCAGCGTGCCCCAAAGCCACGTGGGATGCCACACAAGCTTCACAGGCCCAGTCACCAGCACTACAGACACACCTACTAACCGCATGTCCATCATACAGGTAAGAGAAATCACATTTTTTCTCCTCCACACCAGTTTTTTTTCCATCACCACCCTCACAAAGCTCCCATTCCCCACATAAGCATTTGCCCCTTGTTTAGTAAAATGACAGCAAAAGATGACATTCTAGATGATGGCAGAGCAACCCAGAAACACTGAGAGAAGACAGAGATGGGGAGGGGGGAGTGCTGGAAGGATTAAGCAGCCATTCTGGTGTTCTCGTAGAACAGAGCCAATGACACACATCTTTTGCACCTTAAATATGTAACAACAGATTTTTCAAATCAGCTTCTTTGCAGTATTTTTGTCCTCAATTGTTACTCCCAAGATTGTAAAAATAAGATATCACCCTGTTGTTGTTGATTAATCAGTGGATGCGATTAGGCAATCTGTTTGTAACCAAAACAGCTTTAAATTACCTTATAACTTTTTGAGATTTTTTTTTTTACAATATTATATATTTATATATAGTCTGTAGCTGTATTGTAAATTTAAATGGTGAAATCAGCAGTTCCGTAGTAGAACAATTTGAATTCAGGCAGTGACTTGTGTATTTGGTATGTCATCAGTTCTACACTAAGGTTTTTTTTTTTTCTGTCTTGATTTTAATTCCTAGAGATTAGGAGATTGCACCTGTTTTTCACGGCTACTTTGTACGTCTTTGTGCAAAGTACTCGGGTGCGTAAGCCTCTAACGTGATAACTTCTCTGAGTCTTTGGCCTTAAGCCCATTAAAAGTCTGTCGTGGCAGACAAGGATTAAACTCTGCTTAAGACAGTGCTGTATAACACTAACAGTAATGGGCAGTCACAGCAGTGGTTGTTCTGATGCTTTCCTCGTGTTCCTTTGGAAGCAGAAAGCTGCACGTCCTGTTTTTTTTTTTAAATTAAAATAGATTTTATTTTTCTTCATGGTCACCAGGTGCTTGCTGAAAATTACATTATCAATTTCCTTTGATGAGTCTGTAAGACTATGACCTTAAAAGGTCTTGAGATAACAAAACTTAATGTTCACAATTTAATTTTATAGAAATATCAAAGACGGTGCGTGACTCGTATTATTGTTGTGTTCTAATTGTGACTGTAACTGTGTTTTTTTTTTATCAATTCGGTGTTATTACATAGCACCATTTCACAACAAATATCATCTAAGACAAAGACAAGTAATTGGATCCAATTTTAAACCAAGCTTTTTCAAGTCACACGCTGATAAACTTAACCTATTAGTGTCAAGGGTAAACTGTCTTTCTGTGCCTGGTTCGTTTCACTGGCAGTGAATGTGACAATGATTGAGATCAGATGTGATGGATTCCCATCAGGGAGGAAGGCAAATGCCCGTTGTTTTTGCTTTATTCTTTGTCTTGCTTCTACTTTGTATTACGAACCAGCTACGTGGAGCTGGGGACAGCACACAGACTGTTAAGAGCTCCTAATATGGAAGAAAGAGTAATTACTGGTCGGTTTTACAGTCAGTTTCTCTTCTAATCTTGTGAAAATATATTGGACTCTGTTGGGCTCTCACACACCTTTTTATGGACATTCTTGGTTTTGTGCCTTTTGCCTGTTAAAGAAAAACAAAAACCAAGCGGTATCAACACATTTCCAAATGTCTTATTTACTGAGGGTCCCGTCAAAGCATCAAGCGTGCACGGCTGCTTTATTGTATTATTCAAAAGGAACCTGTGTTGAGGGAGATGGCCTGAGGCATTAAGTTTCTTCAGAAGCTGTACAGAAACAGATCACTTTCCTCCCTCCTCCCTGCTTCATCCTATTCTCTCCATTCGTGTGGACAGTAAGTAACCTGAGTCAGGAGAGTGTGTATGGGGAAAATGTCAGGAAACAAAGACAAAATTCCCCTTCCATCGATCCCAAAGCTTCTCAGCCCATCTGTCACTACAGTTGCCACAGTGCTGAGGCTAAATCGGAAAAATAAATAAATAGACGGATAAAGTGGGGGAGCATATCGCCAGTACAGTTTGCTCAGTCCGTTTCACAAGGGCACCTCTGTTCTGCTGTCTTGGACTGTGCATTGTGGAGCAACTAAAGCTGTCTGCAACTTTCTCTGTCCAGCTGGTTTCCTCTAATGATGTTTTATAGCGGCGCACTGGAACACTGGCTGAGCTTGGTCTTTAGCTTGGAGAAGGGAGTGATATAAACAAATCAGCAGGCCTTATCGTTGTCACCACCGTGCCAGTACCCTGCCCAGTCAGAGAGAGAAAGCTTAGAATCATTATTCCTGTGATGAGGAGATGAATGATATGCAACGATGCCTAATTCCACTTAAGGCACTAAAAGGGAATTACTCGGAGAATAATCAATAACCAATCTGTAGCAACGATCCTCAGAGTTCAGAATCAAATAAACGTCATTATTTTTCCTCCACGGAGGTAGCCTGCGCCTCACGTGACGTAAATGTCTTTGTAGTTAACTGTTTGGTTCATAAATCCCCCTCGTTTTCCTCCACCTTGTCAAAAGTTGACCTTCAAGGGACCATACGTTTCACACGAGTGTTGAGATATTCTGCAAGTTTTACAAGTTTCTGTTTTGTGTAAATTAAGATTTTGTTACCTCCACATTTTCAACACATTTGCCTTTGCTAAAAAGGTGAAAGTGGTTCGGTGACAAAAGGGGTGTCAAAAAGGCTATAAAATCTGCCTTTAGGTGGCGGCAGTCTGCCTTGTGTGGGGTGACATTCACAGGAGACTGGCAGGAAAAAAGGGGCTCCAGTCTGTGCTGGACTAACACCGTCACTTGTCATTTTGTGAAAAAAAACGAACAAAAAAAAAACCTAAATGGAGTCCTTCTGCTCTAATGAAAAATGTTAGACGTGAGAACATAAAATGTAGAATGATTTCTGGAACAGCCTGTCTGACAGCGTTTTAATTCAACCCTTTTGATTGACAATCAGAGACTTCACAATGACACTGAATCTATAATGTTTACAGTTCTCTGAGCACCACGTATAAATCAGAGGAAACATCTGAACCACTTAGAATAAACCTAGGTTCAGTTTTTTTTTCTTGAAACTGACTGATGATCTCAATGAAAAGAAAGAGTGTTGGGGGGAAAAGCTGCTCTGAAGTGTGACTGTGATCAGTTAAGCAGAGTGTTTACCTTTTAGTGGATTTCTCCCTCTTTTCATCTGTTTAGGTTGGGAATATGCATGCCAACATTTTAGCTAAAGCAGATGTTGAGAACGGGTGCTTCGAGGGATGGTCTTACTCTGCATAATTTGTGGAGATTGTGTGTGTGTGTGTGTGTGTGTGTGTGGGCGTTAAGTCGTTGTGTATTCCAGGCATGTGATTTAAGCCTTTAGCTGGCAGGCGCCGTGACAGAGCCCCTCTCTTTTATGAGCGTGACAATCTTGCGTTTGTCCGAACCTTGAAACACCCTTCCTCCTAGAAACGCATACGCACTCACACGTGTGCAAACAAATACAAAGATGCACGTGTTGGTCTGTTTTTAAGGATTCTACCTAAAAAAAAAAAAAAAAAAAGAGTCTTATCCAAGCCAGGGTATTGTATTGAAATTGCTCCCACACTCCGGTGGCCACTGAGCCAATAAATAAAAAATAAAAAAATAGCTCTTTATTTGATTTCTTTCCCTTCATCTGTTTCACCTGCAACTTCATATGGAACAAGTTTAGTAAACATGCACGTATTAAAACCTGCTCCCAGATGTTTGGCATGAACAGTTACTCAAAATAACAAGACATGGTTGAAGAAGCAGCTGTAATTTGTGTACATTAGTCCCTTTTTGGAGCTTCTGAGTCACAAAGCCAGATTTGTTTTGAGCTCACCAGCACATAAAGAAATATTATCTTTCCTCTGCATGTACTTTCACAATACTTCAAATAAACCTGCCCCTACTGTACATAACACAACACGATGAAATCCTAAATTATTGATAAGCATTTTTATGTCTCTTCACCCCTCCTCCCCCAAAAGCTGACACATACAACTGAGAGGAAGCACAGACAGACCACAGTGTTACTCCAGGGAATAACAGTAAATTGTTTTATCTCTCTTTAACCAGAACATAAAAATTTGGATGAAGCTTTTTTTGTTGTATTTGTATTCGCTGCCATCACTGCTGTTTGATGTGTGCTGTAAAAAGCAGTGCTAGTTTTCATATATATGTTCGTCACAGTGTTTTAAAGCAGACTAAAGGCAGCATGAGCTATATTTGCATCCTCTTTTATTAATAAATGATAAGGTTTAACAAATTAGATGGAAATCAGATGTTATCACAATAAGCATTTGAGGTATTTACCTACATGAACACAGGTGGGCTGAATGCGTGAGTGAAGAAATCGAAACTCCACCTGATATTAGCAGAATTTGAGTATTTGTATTTGCGATATGACGCTGCATGAAACAAGTAGAAAGTCTGTCGTGACCTCTGAAACCACTTCTCACTTTCCACTGTCTGGAAGTTTTTTAATAAACTAAGAAAATTAGGTCCCGTTGCAACACACAACACCCAGTGTCTATTAGCTTCCCACTCATTTTAAATGTTTTCTCTGGCCATTTTTTTTTTAATTAACATATTTAACAGCATTGCTGAGTTTTTCGCTTCACAAATCTTTGATTAATAGTTTATTACATTTACAAACATTATGAGTATTCAGAAAATTTGCTTGAGAATTTCATGCAGCTGTGAACAAAAATGTTTTATTTATTGCAAGTTTTGAAAAAAGGGAAAAAAGTAAATCGGAGTAACCTTGATAAATATTTGATATGTTGCCTCCAGACAATGCTCTCCACACTCACAGTTTCCCCTCATAACTCAATGCAAACTTCACCTACGTCAAACTGTAGACAGACATGAATCGGCCTTATGGGTGACCCTTCAGAAATCTTCTTAGACATCGTTCTCCGTATGGACACAGCACTTAGCTGAGCTGCATAATTTCATTAGATTAACAGACCTCCCAGCCCGGCAATGAAGAGCAACAAAGGATTGTTTTATATTTTTATTTTTTTTGCAAGTGCAGGGAAGGA